TGCCGGCCCGCGGCGCCGCGCGCACCTGGGCGCTGCTCTCCCTCTGCCTGCTGGGCTGCGGGGCCCAGGACTTCGGGCCGACGCGCTTCATCTGTACCTCGGTGCCGGTGGACGCCGACATGTGCGCGGCGTCCGTGGCGGCCGGCGGCGCGGAGGAGCTCCGGAGCAACGTGCTGCAGCTCCGCGAGACCGTGCTGCAGCAGAAGGAGACGATCCTGAGCCAGAAGGAGACCATCCGCGAGCTGACCACCAAGCTGGGCCGCTGCGAGAGCCAGAGCACGCTGGACACGGGCACCGGCCGCAAGCAGCCCGGCTCCGGCAAGCACACCATGGGCGACCTGTCCCGGACGCCAGCCGCCGAGACGCTCAGCCAACTCGGGCAAACTTTGCAGTCGCTCAAAACCCGCCTGGAGAACCTGGAGGTCCGCGCGCGGCTCCCCTTGGGCGCGCGCGGCCTTATGCCCTCCCCACCCCCACCCGCACCCCGCCCTGGCCGGTCGGGCACCCCTGCCCCCGCCTGGGCTGCACGCCCTGCCCGGCCCGGGCTGCCCGGAGCCTGCGGGGGGGCCCCCCGCGGCGGCCGCGAGCCCTAACTCCCTGCCAGGCCGCCCCCGCAGTCGCCCGAGGAGACCGCGGCGCGGGCCTCGGGCGGCTCCGGCTGGGCGCGTAACGGAGCGCTCCCCGCTCTTGCCCCGCAGCAGTACAGCCGCCTCAACTCCTCCAGCCAGAGCAACAGCCTAAAGGATTTGCTGCAGAGCAAGATCGAGGACCTGGAGCGGCAGGTGCTGTCGCGGGTCAACAGTCTGGAGGAAGGCAAGGGGGGGCCCAAGAACGACACAGAGGAGAGGGTCAAGATCGAGAACGCCCTGACCTCGCTGCACCAGCGCATCAGCGAGCTAGAGAAAGGTATTACTGCCGGCCACGATCGCGGCGCCCACGGGACCCCGCCTGCGGCCTCCTGCGCCGCGTGACCCCCAGGCCCTCCCCTCGCACCCGAGCTCTGGGCTGCCAGTCCGTGCGGCCGTACTTGGCAGCCCTGGGCTCGGAAGGTACCTGGGCGAGAGGAAGCGGGGAGGGATCGGCTCAATCCCCCTCGCCTGCGCGCTCACACACTGGTGGATTTCTCGAACCTGATGTGTGCCATCCCCAGTAACTTTGCACAGTAGCCGTCGCCCGCCCGAAACCCTCCCGACTCCGGAAGCCTGCAGTCAGTCGGTCCCCACACTCTCTCAGGGAGCCGAGCGCCCTCCCCATCCCTGACAGGCATCTCTCGAGTTGGGCCCTCATCCCTGGCAGGTATCTCTCGTGATATCTGGGGGGAGGGGTCCCCCTCAGTCCTGAACCTGGGAGACAAGATTTTTCCCCCCACCCATCGGAGTGACCCAAGCCCGCGCATCTTTCGTGCCCCCGTGGTCCCCGATCGCCAATTCTGGGTGGCCCCGGCGCGACCCAGGCTCACAGACCAGCTAGGGCCGCTGTGCCTTGAATCGCAGAAGAAAGGGAAAAAAGGTTGTAAAAGGGCGGGGGGGCCCCGGCGAGTAGCAGGGCCACGTGACCCTGCTCGGACCGCAAACTGTGCCCGCCGGATTTCCACAGTGCCATCTTAAGGCGCGTTATGTAACTGAACACCAGATCGGGGAAGGAGGGACGCGGGAGAGGGGGAGGAGGGAGGGAGATGCGAGGAAATGAAAAACAGCTAGTCGACCGGCCGGGGGGCTGCATCCTCCTCTGCGGGGCGGGGCTCTGTGGGCGGCACCGGCGGAGGACGGGGCGGACCCTGCTCCGCCGCCCCCTTGCTTGGAGAGGAGATGCCAAGAAGCGGGGTGGGATGTATGCTGGCCAGCAGGGCGCCTCCTAGAAATAACTCCTTGGCCGGGTAGCAGGTACTGGAGTACAGCAAGTGCTGGCATGCCTGTGCCCTGGGCTCTGGGTGCCCTTCCCAGCGGCTGCCTGGTGGCTGAAGTCTACTGCTGGCCTGCAATTTTTGTTCCTGGGGCCACAGCCTCAGTGTGTGTGGGGTGAGAAGGGGGTGGGTTGGCGAGGGGGGTGGTGTCACTGGAGACACGTTGTTCTGGCAGCCTGCATGGGGCCCATGAGGCCCTAGGGCCAGTTTTGCAGGAAGCACCGCCGGATTTAAAAGTTGGGATTTGGAGCTCCTGGGCAGTCACTGAAGGGGCCAGCTGCTCTCCCCTGGGAGGTGGGTTGGGTCCTGAAAACAGCCCTGAAGTTCAAGCCAGTCACTGGTCAGTGGAGACACCAGGCTGGCAAGCGTATGTCCTGCTGCTTGGGGTGCCCTAGAGAGAGATGGCCTCTCACACCCACACACCCACAGTTGCCAAAGTGGCTTGGGGTTGGGGACTTGAGAAGGGCCAGCAGGGAGGGCTGTGAGCACGTCAGTCAGCCTCGTCCGAACCAAGGAATCAGGTCAGACCCGAAGGGGCTCCCCTGAGGGGAGCTGCTCTCTTCCCAGGAACCACCTCAGCCTGTGCCAGTGGCATCACCAACCCCCCCAGTTCTGCCCTCCCCGGGCCCAGACGGCCTCATGCACCATGGCCTCAGCCTCCCCTGGTGGCAGAGTCAGAGTTGAGCTCGAGGGTGCCCACAAGTGCCCACTTTCACCCACTGGCCCAAGGGTGTGTTTCAAGCCTCCGGGCACCTACCAGATGAAGACCACAGGGAGCTTGGCAGGGACGGACCCCCAGTGCCGGACGGACCCCCAGTGCCAGCTGGACGCCGGCCACAAACACACAGACAAGGGGCTGATGTCAGGACCGTGTCCCCCTCTCCCTTCCCCCCTAGGTCAGAAAGACAGCCGGCCCGGGGACAAGTTCCAGCTGACATTCCCGCTGCGGACCAACTACATGTATGCCAAGGTCAAGAAGAGCCTGCCGGAGATGTACGCCTTCACCGTGTGCATGTGGCTCAAGTCCAGCGCGGCGCCCGGCGTGGGCACCCCCTTCTCCTATGCTGTGCCGGGCCAGGCCAATGAGCTGGTGCTCATCGAGTGGGGCAGCAACCCCATGGAGATCCTCATCAATGACAAGGTACAGCCCCTTTGGTCTGCTCTGAGCTGGAGCAGGCTGGCCCGGGCCCCTCTGCCTCTGTGTATGTTTATGTGGGGGTGGGGGTGGGGGTGGGGGGATGGAGAAAGCTCGCAGGGCAGGACATGGAGGGAGGGAGAGACTGGGAGACCTGCAGAAGGGCTGCTAGAACCTTCCCAGACAGAGACCTTCCAGGATAGAGTGGCTGGTGCAAACAGGCAGTGGGAGGAGGAGGAGGGTGGAGAAGGCTCCTGGTCCCGCCCACAGAAACACCGCCCTCCTCCACCAGGGGCTCTGAGACGGGACCAAACACGCGGAGCCCTCTAGCCTAGCTCTCCACCCTTGAGACCCCTGGGGTGGCAGCACAGGGAAACCCCTTCCCCTCCAGTGACCCTGGGGCAAGGATTAGCTGCCAGCTTTCGAACCCTGGCCTCTGCGTGTCTGCTGGTGCCAGGCTTGGGTTGGACGCCAGGTCGGCTTCAGGGGGTGGGGGTGGGGGCATTGGGAGCTCGCTCCCTGCAGTGCTGGGGGGCTGGGTGAGGGAGGTTCCTGGTAGAAGCTCCCCTGTGGTGCCCGTCAGAGTCTCTGCAGAGGCCTGGAGGCCATGGACTCAGAAGGCCAGCTTCCCAGTTAGAGGCGGGGTGCTGGAAGAGAGATGAGAATCACGAGGTGGAATGCCTTCCTCTCCAGCCAGCAGTGTGGGCTCTTCCCACCTTTTGTCCAGAGGGCCCTGGTTGGCCAGGGGCTGGGAGCAAAGAAGGAAGACTGTGCTCCAGATGAATCTTGGGGAGGCCCAGGCTGACACTTGCTGTCCTCTGTGGTTCTGACAACCATGCATGGGTGTGGCTGGCAGACCATGGAGTCCAGAGGGATGGGGCTGTGAGCGTTCAATAATGGCTCTTCCATGGAATGGATAACAGTGGGAGTAATGATGCAGGGGTGGGCGGGGAACGTGCCCATAAGTGTGTGTGTCCACTTCCCAGGTGGCCAAGCTGCCTTTCGTGATCAATGATGGCAAGTGGCACCACATCTGTGTGACCTGGACCACCCGGGACGGGGTCTGGGAAGCCTACCAGGATGGGACCCAGGGCGGCAGTGGCGAGAACCTGGCACCCTACCACCCCATCAAGCCGCAGGGCGTGTTGGTGCTGGGCCAGGAACAGGTATTGGCCGGCAGAGCAGGGAGGAGAGGGAGGGGCTGGCTGTCCTGGGGAGGGGCAGAGAGAATCGTGGTGGAGAACCCTTGCTCTGGGTGGGCTCAACACCCCCAGGACCCCAGCAGCTCCTGTGTTGGCTTGGGAAGACCAGCTCTGCTCCTTAGGGCACTCCAGAGGGAAGTGAATGGACCCGTTGTCTCAGGCCAGCCCCACTGGGCGGCTAGCTCTGCCTTTGACAGGACATAGAAATGTTCCTTGTGGTGGGGGGCACAGATCCTGCCCACCTCTCACTCCTGTGGTTGGATGGCGGG